TTGTAAATTTACCTTAGGGAGCTGTGTGTATGTGTGTGTGTGTGGGGTGGGGGGCGTCCCGAAGGCGCTTGCATTGGTATTTTAAACACTGGCAAGCGCATAATCAAAACGCTTAAATTATAATAACTTTATTAAGTCTCGACTCTCGGCGAGTGGGCAAAAGTAAATTCGGTGGGAGCAGAGCCAAACAGACACACACACAAGTACACGCACCCCTCTCGCCTAGGCTAGCTAAACAGGTGTAGTGTAAAGAAAGCAACAACAGCAACAACAACAATTGGCAAGAGCTGGTAACAACTGAAAAGCCCCAAACATAAAGGCACAAGGCACAAGCGTTTTGTCTGTTGCCCATTTTTTCGAGTGGTTTTTACTTGGTATACACTACAGCATTGTAGTTGTTCTTGTTATTGTTGTTGTTGTTACCTGCTGCCTGCTGTTTATGATTGTTTTTTCATTTTCTCAAGTGATGAGTAGGATATCTGTCTGTTCGTACAGCTATGGCAACAACTACCACAACAACAATAACAGCAACAAGCTATTTGCGACTCACGACTTTTCATGCAATTTTGAATTTAAAATTCTTCACACACTCTTTTCATTATGTAGCTTCATTCCTGACTACTCTGTGAGCCCCCCTCTCCCCCTCTCCCCTTCTACCTTGCCATTCGCCCAATGCCTGTAAAAATGGCCCGCCATCGAAGCCAAGAGGCAGCAAAATAAGATGCTACTCTTGTGGCCATCTTGAAGTGGTTGTTGTAATGGGCGAGCGTATGCTTGTATGTGTGCGAGTGTATGCTAGTTTGTGTGTGTGAGTCGGTGAGTATGTGTGTGTGTGGAGGCCACTATAGTGGAAGACGCCTCACAATCACGCGCCATTTACGTTTTTATTGGCGCTGGCGCTGTTAGCAGATCACAGTGGTCAATTGATAAGTTAAGATGGGCTTAAAATCTGGGCAAAACAATTAAAAATATAACTATAACTGATAATATACAACAAATAAATTATTAACGTCATTAAAAAATAGGATTTAGATATTCCATTTGATTAAATGATATGTAAGCAGATCACAGTGATCAGTTGGTACGTTGTGATAGGTTTAAAATTTGGTAAAGCAATTGGAATAATAACTATAACTAAATATGACATTTTGACCAATTACGTAATAATTACGTTGAATATATGAATTAATATATATTAATAAATGAAAATGTCACATTATCTAAATTTTTTATTCGATTGCAACGAAATACATAAATGTTACTTTAACAATTATGTCCATTTGCAAATTTAAAAAAAATATATACTCCTTTAATACTCTAAAAATTCACAGACAAGCTTTCGAATATTTCAAAAACTTCAACTTGCACTTTAAAAAAATAATAATAAAAAAAAAATAATAATTTTGTAAGTATTTATTTTTTAGTGTTATTAGCGTATTAACATTAGCTCACTCTGCAACACTTTATCCCACTGTCGCACACAAATCCATCATTTTATGCCACTGTGCAGCGACGCGCGTGGATTTTGTGTTAGTGTCGTTGGCGATGATGACGATGACGTTGACGATGACTGGGCTGCTTGCCCTGCTCAGTGGCTTAGCCAGCTTGGTACGGATGTGTCTATCTTGGACTGCGATTGCCGCTGCTGCCGCTGCTGTTAGTGTTGGTGCCGCTGCTGCTGCTGCTGATGTTGCTGCCACTACCACTTGGTGGTCCAATTCAACGAATTGACTATAATCAGTCTAGTGGCAAGTACTTTTCGAGTGCCCACTCATGCACTTCTGTGTAGCGTGGCGAGTGCGGAGTAGGTGCAACTGCGGCTGCAGCGTCCAGCTCGGACGGTCGGCGAGTTGCAAGTGGTTTGCTTGCCAGCACCGCTCGCATATGCAAATGTACCTTGCGCCACTCGGTCTAGAAACGTCAGGTACACTCGAAGCGGCTCTCACGAGTGCCGCGACGCACACAAAATTAATTTATTACATACAATGCAACAAATTACACCACTCATTAATATTTAAGCCAAGTTTTGCGTAGCTGGCCCTGTGCGTTGTGGCATGTGGAAAGGAGTCTGCTGCCAGCATTCCCCTTGTCCAGGGGCGGTACATGCCCAACGACGTCTCGACTGAGCCACTGCGCTCATACCTAATAAATCTGTAATTTGTAATTAATGTGAAAAATTGCCGCCCGAGACGCCAAACAAGCCTAAATTGTTATTACGGCCACAGTGCAGGTTCAGAGCCCAGTTTCGAGTCCAGTTCCAGTTCCAGTTCATAAAAACCGCACACAACATGTATACGTTTGTGGTGTGTGTGTGTGTGTATGTGTGTGTTTGGTGTGTGTCGCCCTGCCTGTCTGTACGTCGTTTGGTTTGTTGTGGGTCAAAGCCATAACTCTTCGACAAGTTCGGCAGTTCGACAAACACACTGTTGCCTGTGGCCCATTCTGGCTTGGCCTGGTCAGCAACTCTTGTTGGCCTAAAGGCGGCTCAGATAATGTTCGTGCTGTGTTTCATAAATATAAATTAAGCCACTTGACTAACGCACAGAGCCAGCGTATTTAAGACTTGAAAATGTGAAAACTTGGTCAACAGATTTGCCGTATCTCATGTTGCCAAAATATCATTGCGTTTACTATGGCCAACAAAAAAAAAAGCCAACAGAGGCAACTGCTTGGTCGCCTGGCGATGGCATATCGCGCCATTGTCTGCTGAAAGCAACTCATGCGGCGTGATTAATATGGAAGATGGCCAAAACCGATCCATAGCCAACAATTTATGATATATGCGCAGAGCTGTGAGCATGTGAAAGAGCAGTGAGAAAAGTGTGTGACAACTTAATCAAGAAAACAGCTAGAGAAAAAGTTGCTTGTAATTTAGTATACAATTATTTAGTTGCCAGTCTTACCTGATCTATTAGACATTTTGTTAATATTGCACATATATGGTAATAATTCACATTAATTGGCTAAAGAGAAACACTTAACCTGAAGTTCGAACCTGGCTGCTTGTTGTTAACTTGCCCTAATGATTCGCCCATTTGGTCCATTTCTTTGCTTGCCTATAAATATAGCTTATGACAAACTTTTGGCCGAAACGAATTCATACAGAAACTATATCATTAAAATTAATTGTTTTCAGTTTTTCTCCAAGTTTTCATATTTTTATTTTACTTTAACACAATTAACCCATTAAAAACACTTGAAATCGAGCACAAAATGTCTGCATGCATGATTGATAATATTCGAAAGTTAAAAAAAAAAAAAACAAGGTATATGTTGCTCTGTGGATATTTTGAACAATTGACCGCATTGTAGCTACAAAAATAAATTCGCACTATTGCCCTTTACCCCACCCACCGCTACGATTCGAGGCGGTCAAATTGCTAACCGGTCAGTCACCGAATCAAAACAATTTTATTTTTTTTTTTGGATCATGCTGGCCAAGAGGTAACACAGTTGAGTGAGTGATTCAATGGAGCAAAACGTGAGCCAAAGACGTGAGACAACAACAACAACAACAACAACAACAACAATAAGCACCGTTTATATGCCTGATGAGCGGGCGCCTTTGAATACGACCCCAAGATATAACATATTTTTTTGTTCACTTGTGATATTTATTTTTTTCTCAACGAATCAATCACAATGATTATGATAAATGATTTCGGTTTTTCACTATTTTTCGGCCTGCCATTGTTTGGTAATTTTTTTTTTGCTTTTTTTTTTTCTTTTCTTTGATTTTTTGGTATTTTCGCATTATTACGCCGCGTAATGGCCGATCAGCGAGTCGGGTTGTAATTGCCGGCCTATAAATCACAGTGAAAAGATATAATTTCTGTTAGATGATCTGTTCGTCTGACCGTGGTTGATTAGCACATTTGTCCGACTCTCAATGGAGTTTCACTTTTTTTCTATTTACAAGACGTACAAATGCAAACGAAACGAAAAGCCCCCACGTAATGCTGACCCAATGAACTTTTTAACAGTACTTGCAATTTTTTTCTTCAAGCTATTTGCTTAACGGATTCGATTGTGTACATTTTACAATACTTTGGTTATTTAGTGGGTCTTTGGAGTTTATCGCATTTTTCTAATCTTGTTAAGAAACTTCATTAGTGTCACAAACGGACGCCTTACTTGCATTGATTAATGTGTGTCAGGCGGAAACTTTGGAGCACCAAAACGTGTAACAAGGCGGCAACGGACCACCAGCTCGGCCCCAGCCCCAGCCCCAACCGTAGCCCCAGCCCCAGCCTCCGCCTCAGCTCCAGCAGACCCGGTAGCTTTGGCAGCTGTAGTAGCTGGAAACCCGAACCTGACTCACAAATGCGGTTCTGTTTGCATAGACCACGCCCCTTCCATGTTGGTCGCCTGCAATTTGAGGTCTTTATTGTGCACTTTATTTATAAAGGTGGAAACTGCATCATTAGTTTTCGCTTGGAGCTTAGCATGTGGCTGGGACATGATAACTAAAGAGAGATATATTAAGTTTAATTTGTGAGATAAACTTTAAGAAACGAGAAGCGTTAGAATTAATACAAAACTTAAGATGAAACTGCAAAAATATACAATCTATTACAATTCACTCGAATAGATACTTTAATATTCCAATTTGAAGACTAACAATGTCTAAGATTTAGTTGAATCATAAAATATCCACATATTGTTGCACAACATTTTAAAATATTTACCAAATTAATGGCTCAGCAAAAGCTGCCATACAGTCCATTTAAAGTCTTCTACAGCCTGAACAATGTCTTTAATGCTATGCAACCCCTCCATACCATATTCATATTTTATGAACTAAACTGCAACTTTTTGGGGAACAACTTTCAAAAAAGTGCTAACAAGCTGCCGGAGTTGGAGTTGAAGTTGTTACTGCTTTAAATTTGACAATATTTGGCAATATTTTAGCTGGTTTTAATAATTTGTGACAAGTTTTTTAATAAATGTGTTCAACTTTATTTATTTATTTTGTTTTTTTCATTTATTTTTCTCTGCAGTCTCGACTGCCGGAACACCCAACACGCAATCCATGTGGCTGATGCATTGACACAGCGACGCAGAGACACTTGTCGCCTAGCTGAGTAGCCGCTCGGTGGAGCTGTGAGGAAAATGTTTCCACGGCAGCCGGCTGCAGGCAGCGCGGATATTTATCAGGATGCAACAACAACGCTGCGCTCAGCGTTTCCCAACTCTCGACTGGATTCGCTGGCGGCGCATCCAACGCCCGCCAATGAACCTGATCCCAACATGGACAGTCAGCTGGCAGCGCCAGATCCAACTGAATTGGGCGGCGCCAATACTGGATATAATCCGCTGGACGATGACTGGTGGTCCAATGCCATTGAGGTGGACACGTTCGATTCGCCGCTGGCCTTCGATGCCAGCGAGAATGGTCTGTGGAACGGACATTTTGTGCCACCGCCGCCGCGTCCACCCTTTCTGGATGAAAGCGTCGCCGCTGACGGCCTGACCACCTGTGATCTATGCACGTGGGCCTGGCAGCGTAATGCCTACTCCCTAGACGGTTCGATAGGTAAGTGCCGATATACCGATATCTTACGGTCTCTGTCTCTCTCTCTCTCTCTCTCTCTCTTTAAGCCCCCCATGAATAATGGGCCCTTTAGCCCCGCATTGTAGTCGCGTTTTTCAATTAAAAAGTCAGCCCATCCCCAACTCCTGCAGCAACTCCTCGACAAGACAATACTCGGTATCTGTGCAACGCTAGCCGCGCATCGCCGCACATCGATCGCTGATATCAATTTATCAAACTGATGTTGGGCGTGCGTGGCGCGATTGCTTTTCGGCGCTGTATTTTTCAAGAGCCAAGTCTTTTCGGATCTTGGCCAGGTCTGTGCTGCCTCCTTCTGCTTCACTTGCGTTTGCAAATTTAATTTTGCACATAACTCTTGGTGGCACAGCCTTTGGCTTAGGCGTTCCAAGCCTCGATCCCTGCTGGATTCATTCGCTGCTCTTGCCGCGGCCTATCGCGACCATCGCCAGCTCGAGTCATTTGTCTCTGCGCTTGTAAAATCGCGCAAAAAAAAGTGGGGGGCGAGAAACCTCATTGTAACCTGGCTTAGACGAAACATCATGAAAATATATGAAGCAGTGGGCGTGCGCAGGAGCAGAACCCGCTGCTGATGATGCAGCTGATGCCGATGATTAAGACTCTGCCTAGACTAGGTTCCATTTGGCTGCTTAAAAAGTATTTTCTTTAATTTATTTGAGCAGAAATAAAGTAATAAGCATTGCTCGACTATTTGCAAGGGGTATTGAATTAAAGTTGAAATAGATCTTGTCACAACTAGATAAGTGAAGTGATTTTTATAGGAACGGAAATGTATTTATGGATATAAAAAATAAATGTTAGTCTCTAAAAGAAAATAGACTAATAGCTCCAGCACTTTAGTTTTCGATCTAACAACATTTTGATTTTGATTTAAGTGATAAAGCAGTAATTGAATGTCGGTAACTTAGAACATATTTGAAAATGTTGAAATAGTTTAGTTCTAGCAAACAAATGTACACATAATTAACATCAGTCACTTTATTTGCCGTTTGAATTCATCTGCATAATAATTACACAAAGCACAATCAAAAGTCAACCGTTGAAAACTTGTTAGAATTAACCCGCACATAACCCAAATACCAAATGCACAAAGCGAATACCAAATGACCGTTGGCCACAGCCACATATGAGAGCATAAGTGGAGTCGAGTTAGGGTTATGGTTGGGAAAATAGCATGGCATTTAGCCGTTTGGCGTATTTGATTTCCAGGAATCGCTTTCAGCGCAAATTGAAGTCATTATACAGGAAGGGCCGCGGCTCGAGCCCGACGCAGGAGTAGGAGTAGAAGCCGCTGCAGCTGGCGGCAGAGCCCATTGCCCATTACTCGTGCCCGTTGCCCGGGTTATTAGGCTAATTATAGACTGGGGCAAACATTTCAGTATTTCTCATCATGCGCTCATATGGAACTATATATACATACATATATATTTATATATATTTGTGTGTGAATATGTATAAATGACTTTATTCATGCCGACTGCGACTGTTTGTCGCGCCGTCGCGTCGTCTGCTGCCGGCGTTTGCCCCAGCCGCAGCCAACGTGTCAACTAATTTGCAACACTCGCCTGGACTGGAGGGGGCAAAACTGGTCAGTTCCCTGGAAATACCTGCGGCGGCGGCGGCTGCTGCTGCCTTTGCCTGTGCCATTCGAAGGGATTAAGCGGCAACAGCTCCTCCATACGGCAACAGGCAATAATAACAGCAAAAAAAAAATTTGACTAATGTCTTAATTTTGTGCCTAGGTGTTTTTGGTGGTTTCGGCCAGAGCAGTCGCTATGCTCCGCTACTCCAAGCCCAGGCCCCAGCCCAAGTCGTGCCTCGGCTGCAGCGAATGCCATTCACTTCGCTTCATCCGTTGGAGCCCTGGCAAATTGAGTTTTTGCATGTCGTGGCCCATGTCTAGATTTCTGTTTCGTTTTGTTTGCCGCTCAAATTGACAGCTGAATAAAATGTTATTATATTTACACCATAATTTGCATGGCAATTAATCAAATGGCATGCAAAATTCTGTCGCTTCGACGGCAACAGCAACGACAACAACAACAGTGCCAAAATGTTTCCCAACAAAATGCTCTTTTTGTGTGCGACACATTTTGGGCGCCCAGGCAATTCCCAGAATTTTTCACAATTCTAACAAAATATCAAAAGGTCGAAACCGCCTGAATGTCTAAATTATGAGCGCAGAGCTTGGAGCCGTAACGAAATTTGCACGGTGCTCGTTAAGCAGTTGGGAACTGAGTTCCATTAGAGATGGGCAAAAAAAAGGCCAAATAAAAACTCGATTTAAATGAATTCCAACTTGTGCATAACGTGTAGTATGAAGTATCATAAGATTATAACCTAAGTTTGGCGTCATTTGGACCAAGTTGCAGATTAAATTAAGAATTGGGAATCACATTTAAACATATTTTCAGCAATCTTTAACAATTTCGAAAGGCTTCTCTCTGAGCACTCGATACTAATCGGTAAACATACTCATCTCGAAATTCACCTTCACATCTCTCACCTCCAGCTTTACTTTATGGTATATTAAGTTGGCCGCTTGATTATTTGAACGGCATATTTTTGTGTAATTTATGCACCATCTTGGCTCTTTTTACACCAACCTCTATTAGAATAGGGACAACAGCTTTATATAAAAAAAGGGTTAACAATTCGACATTCTGCAAATATTTACAGCAATTTGTAGCACAATAAAAATGTAACAACTTGCCAAAGGAACCCACAAAAAGGACTCATTTCGGACAACAAATGTTTTACAAAAACAGCAACAAACAATGACAAAGGCAAAAGTCCCGACAGCAGCAGCTGTTAAAGGCAGCTTCGCAGCGCCTTTGGCACTTTTGATATTTTTATTGTTGTGGCGAAATACACATAAAATCATATAAATACATTTAAGTTGCTTATAAAGCGCCCACATTTGGGACCAAACTTTGGCTCTGAGCATTGGGGCGTGTGTGGCAAAGACTTAAACAGTTCGTATTTTGTCGACCACCCCCTGGGGTAATAATATCATAAATGGCATAATGCCATTGTGCCGCAAACACCATAAATATTGTAAAGCTATAGACGTAACAATTATTGACAGATTTATGCGCACCAAAAGCTATTCAAAGTGCCACTGAAAAGCGCTTCGGCCAGATTACCAGTTACAATACTTATGAAAATGGCTAAGCAATTTGGAGAGCAGCAGCTGGTGCTCTATTGTATTGGTCGCATGGTTGGGGTAGTTGCAAGCCGAGACTGTAAGGCAACAATAATAAACGATATTTAAGCATATCCCTTATCAGTTTATAGCATACTTTTGAGCTTATCTGCAACGAGCTAAACTTTAAAGCTTTGAAGTACTTTTAATAAAAGATTCACCATTAAAACGAAGAATGGAATTTATTCCAATTTATTTTTCACTTTGAACTAAGCCCCGAATTAAGCCATTTGCTCAGGGAAACAGACAGGCTACATTATTTCTGATCAAAATTCATGTGAAAATGGTATATCCTTCATAGACATAGGTCAAAGTTTCCCACCCCCATAATATGGTCAAAATTCATCTGATTTTCACGAGGTTTGGCTCTTTGTGAATTGTTTGGCCTCTAAATCAGTTTGGCATATAAATCTGACAACATTATTCTTGGTCAAAATTCATGTGAATATGGTACCCTAAAATATCCTTAATAGACATAGGTTAAAGTTTTCCACCCCCATATCATGGGAAACTTTTTTATTGGTCGAAATTCATGTGAAAATGGTATCCTCAAATATCTTTAAAGACATAGCTCAAACTTTCCCGACCCCGTAAATTGGTCAAATCTCATCAGATTTTCACGAAGCTTTGCTATTTGTTAATGGTTTGGCCTTTAGATAAATTTGGCATATAAATCTGGTAACCATAGTCTTGCTTTTAGGTTTTGTACGTTTTGCTATAAACTTATTTTCAAAGCTCTACATCAGAACTTAATGAATACGTGTTTCAGCGATTTGGGAATTTATTGTATACGTACCCGCTAGTATATATATATTTTTTTAGTAAATTCCAATATTTCACGGACCAAGTAAAATCTCAACTCAGATCTCTTCCATTACCGGCATAAAGTCGGCAATTCAGTGCAGGTTCCATTCAAAATAAATATTATATGGCACATTAAATACATATTATATTGGAAACTGTAATTCCTTTGCTGCCCACTTTCGAGAAGCAATTATGATTTTCAACTTTTCCGCATCGTTTATTCCGATACGCCCCATGAACTGCCTGTTCACTGGCAATCGCTCGTTAACGCCTGCCTCTCAACCAATACTAAGAACAATATAAGACTAATCCGCAGATTATGGAATGTGTACAAAAAACCGCAAGAGCCACAATTTTGTTCTTCCTTTTTTTTTTTGGTTGCTTTTCTTTCTGGCCAAGTGACGCAACTGTGAAGCCTCTAAAAACGGGCGATGTTTCAAAAGAGAACTATTCAAATTGTAAGCGGAAATGAATGAATTCTTCTCATGTTTTGTAGCTTTTGCGGATTGTTTTTGTTGCGCTGTGCTCTCACTCGTATAATTGTTGCAACGCACTGCGGCCGGAGGCCATAAAAAAGTAAACATAATACACAGAGCACAGAACCAAACACAAGGGAGGAACTCCAGGGCAGCCAAGCAGCGAGAAAACTTATTTGCTATTTTCATGGAATTTTCATAATTTCTGCTTCGTTTGCTCATGTTTTTTTTTACCACAATTTTTCTTTCTTTTTGTTTTAGCGGTTTTTTTCTATGCGGTATGGTAAAAAGTAAACAAGTTGGGCTCCGAAGATCGAAAAATTATTATTACAGGCAGCGCATTTAGTAAAATATTGCACTGATATTGTTGTTGTTATATGGGGGTGTTGATGCAATGTGCAAGCAAGCGACTGCCTGTGTGCGTGTGTATTGTGAGATGCCAGCATAATATTTTTAACTTTGTTTACATTTTGCATTTT